CACATGCCTCCCGGTCTTATTCCTTCGGGTTTACACTGGATATGGGGTGTGTGGTTGGAACTGTGGGTGGTGCAGCGCAAGCCACCCATGGTCCCTCTGTAGGCGCAGGCGTCCTGTGGCTTGCCACAGTGACAGGCAAATCCGAAACCGGATGCCGCCAACCATATAAATATGAACTTTGCGTATCTGGAAATTTGCCAACAGCAGCGCCTATTAATGACAACGAAGCCGATAAGTGCAACAAGACTTTTAGTTTCTTCAAGCCTTCACTTGATTTGCTGTCCATATAGACGGGGTCTACATGTTGAATGCATACAAGTCTACATCTTATACGTCGCGTTAACGCAGTGGACGCATTGACCAAGGTGAAAAGCATTTCTGCAAATGCGCCGGTGTAGTCTTCTCATCCATCCAACAACTATCCATATTTGCTGATTTTGGTTCGGTATCACTCAGTATCCGATGTAATAACCATCATTATATTACGCCACTAATTGCGTTGTTTTACTATGGATATTCAGCGGTTCAATTTGAGGGCTGTTTAAACTTACGCAAGCATTTAGCTGTCGTATATATTGAAGCATTTGACTGGCTCACTGGAATTCAACACGTATTTTAATGTTTTCGAATGTTCCATTTCCACCTCATATCTTCCTTGTGATATGTAATTTGTTTGTGATGTGTTTGCGGGTGAATTTCGGAAGATGCATCTAGTGGCTGAAGTGACACTACGTGAAGTTGACCACCGACATTACCCGAAGGGGGGCAGAGGAATTTTGGTATGTCTTCGGTATGTACATATATGCAGCTTGTGTGTTTACGGCTCCCAATGTGGATTTGGATTGTGAAGCAGAGTCTGAATTTGGGCCATGTTTTAGCTCAAAATAAACTACCCTTTCGACTAGAGGAACTGCAACCGTAGAATTACGATGTTGCATCAACAAGATCATCGCATACTAACAGTGGAATCCAACTCGTAGTAACATGAGAAGGGTAAACGATATGTGATATCCCTCTTACATATTTTAGACTATGCATTACTGTAAACGGTGAGCCGACTCAATAGTAATAGTTCGCCGCGAATGTGCATTAAGTAAATTAGCGAAGGAGAGTGCCGTAACAACTCCTAATTTTACCTCAATTCTTTTCCCTCAAATAATCTATCGATCCTTGTTTGTGCAATCTAACTTTGACAAAAGCATAGGCTAAAACTATCTCCGAATTTGATTTGTCAAGCAGTGATATATGGTCTCAAATGTATTAATTCATGTGAGCTGTTTTGTTAATGATTCGCATCTTTTCCAGAGAGGCTACTAAAAGCAGTCACTTTACTAAAATTCAAATTTTCCCGGGCCGCGGGATGTTTGTTGTCAGATCACTTCGATTACTAAACTATTATTCCTTCCGAAAAGGATTCTACAATGCACTGGGACCGGGAAAACAATGACGGCTGAGCAAACGTTTGCCAATCTACTATACAAGATACCACGGCACCATTCAGAAACACGACATTCTGACTTGGTTATCTAGCATGATAAATAGTAAAGAGTTCATTCAGGCTATGTGGTTCACAGTAAGTGAAACAACTAACTGCTTAGCTTACCCTATTCGTATTTCTTCTCATCACTTCGCAGCGAGATAAAGCCCCGCTCATGTCCAATTTCCAAGTACACTGTCTTCTCCAAAAGCAACCAATTTGGTCTCATACTTTGATATTTTCTTACCAAAACATTACATTCCCATTCTTTCCTAAAGGGAGGACTGGTGCAGAATCTAACCGTGTGTTCGCGATTCTGACAACCCAGTTTGTGATAAAGCACGGCGCAACATTGCCGTGTACGCCGATTAAATCCCCATCCGTTGTCAGAGCACAAATTTTCTAATGATGTTTGGCATTTGACTGCCATCAAGTGCATTCGTTCAGGCCACAGACTGAGGTCCGACATGGCACACCGCAATGTGACCGATGAGGAATGTACATTCACCAGTTCATCTTCGTCGCAGGTGGTGGGACGTGAGCTTCACTTTCTAGGTCAGTGGTCAATCGCCAACAATGCTAGGTGATTTGGTTTGAGCTACTTATCTTATCATACCTACGACAGCTAGAGGTGAAGATAAATCTTGAGGCTAGCCTGCTTCCTTATAGAGAGTTACACGACTAAAGAAATTACATCGACGGGGTGCAACTATTTAAAGAGGCATAGTCTGTGTGATTCGTAGTCTGTCTCACTTGGGCTTTTATATCACCCGGAGATACGTTTGCAAGGCATCTACAACGCGGAAGCGTAGAGTTATAGCATGAAATACCTTGTTTGTTTAGAATACATTTATTACAACGTTTTAGAAAACAATGTGTTTTCGGCCATAAAATAATCTCAGTTAGGTAGAAATGTGGGTCATCTTATGAACATTACGGTGAGTTTCACTGCAGGCGCCACAAGATATTAGAACATTCCGCCCCCTATGCTTACTTTTCCGCATAAAGTAAACCGAATAGTTTAATATCTGGTCTCAGTAACGTAGGCGTCTGGCAATTAAAACATTGCTCATTTGCGCATATCTAGTAGATGTGTGGATGTAAAGTGTGCCATATTCGGTGGCTTAAAATCTATCCACTACTCAGTAACTGGGTTAGTTTAATGAATCTACATCCCATACCATTCGCAAATAGATGACTGCCATGGCGGTTGTGTCGAAATAGTCAGACAGTGTCAACAGCTTCCTTGGCACTTCATAGAAACACGGAAACATGATCTTTGGCTAAATAATAATTCTAGAAATTTTTCTGTTTCCTCTCTGTTGACAAGTTGCACAATGTATGCTCAGTACTTCATAACTGGGTACGTATCAATCATCATATATCGGCTGAAAGGTCGGCGGAATTGAGTACAACAGGAAAGGTGTTACACTAATATCAATTTGTGGTGTACACCTTAAAGGAGAAGCACTCAGTTCAGTGTAGTTAGCTATCCGAAATCCCAAAAACATGTATCAGTTGGACTATATTTAGCATCGGTTGACTTGCACTTCACAAGGTTTAGCTATTTTGGAAAGAAACACCTATAGGTTTTTTTTTACAGTAACCAATGTATTTGACACAATTCAAGAGAATATAATTATAAGTAATGCAATGCTCTGCGTTATGCTCATTCTGATTGCGATATGCTACTGTAATGCATATTGATGGTTCATTCCGGTTAACTATTAGTTGGGTTTCCAAACATTCTGCTTAAACGTTATTATATCCACAAATGCTTCCGCATCCGTGTGATTCAGGCGTTTCGTTTACTGATATGATTCGCGTAATTAAACAAACATCTTGTACTTTATATTGCATTCAATGCGCCATATTCCTGTGTGGATATCATACTTTGTCGGACTGAATCTCATCAGATCCTTTCCTAACCACTACCCCGTCAAATGAGGTATAATTCTTATTCGGCGAAAATGGCGCCACTTTAGCAGCCGTGTGTTTTCTGGTTTTCCATTTACGGGTTGCACTAAATCGGTATACACAACAATACTGTCTATACTCATTACCAAGATGAGCATGCTGTGCCATTCATGCATTAGCAAAGCGCCTATTGGTCCAGGAGTTCTGAAGCATGTGAATCATGTCTTTATACAAGGAAGTGAGCCTATTTCAGTTTAACTCAGATTCGGTAGATATTTTTTCGGTTGTTAAGTTGTTTTGGGAACTCACCCTTAATGGTTGATTAGCCATCATTTTTGAACACTTACTGAGAAGGTTAGCAACTTACTAATAAGGTAACTGATCTATTACGAGGCTGCTTAACTTTCAGGAATTCCTTGTTCGAAACAAGATACTAATTATTCATAAGCCTTTTAACCATCCAACTTGTGCAGGGCTGAGAATATGCCACGGATGGCACCATCTTTCGAAAACTACTGACCTCAAACAAAGCCACTCGTAGTTTATTCACCTGACGTGCACCTTAAATTCTACACTTCATCCATTGTGTTAGTTTCGCTTTCGTTAGACGCGATGCACACCAGATAATCCAATTTGAATATTTGCTCTATGCTGTTCTATGCAGGTGGATTCAAAGCAAGGTTTGAAAGTGTCGCCCAATATTTTTGATGAAGTTTTTCACTTCGCTTTGCATTGATAAATTCACTTTATCCCGCAAAACACCCTACGGACTCCAAATGCACACAAAGAATGTTGTTTACTAATTTAGGTTTTTCTAATGCCTATGCAAATCGATGCTATCGGAACTACGACCACTGATGTCGCCGTAGCTGTAAAACTTTGAACAATTGATTCCAGACCAGGGGATATCGGGTGATAATCTAACCACTGGCTTTAGACCCAATTTTTCCCATCCATGTTTTAGAACCCCGAGGTGCATGTTCATGTACAACCGATTATTCTAAACATTCGTAAGTGCTAATCAGTTTTCGGAATTGCTTGTATCTAGTATCAGCGGTGTATTGTCACTGCACGTAGCTGGAGTTGGTCAACCAGGGTAACTTCTCCTTTCTGGTCATGTGGTTCCTTTACTGGAAGGTTACAAATTCTAAATGGGGTGATCCGGATGATGGCAACTTCGGCAGAATAAAACGCAATCGTGGTAGCATTCCTCCCAATTCGAAGGCTCACAGCAGATCGAATGAAGTTCAGATGCGTCATACACAAATGGGATTTACTCAAAAGGCAGGAGGTGCGATCCACGCACTTTCCATGTAACCCCCACACCTAGTGCCTTCCCATAATTGACACTTCACTTCGCACCGACCAATGGGCACTTAACGCAACGCAGTTCCCGCCACGATCCGGACGATCGCGCTTGACACGCAGTTTTATCCACGAACCGGGTGATGGGTGTGCTTCGGTACAGACATTCATCAGGAAGCCTGCGTGAACGTGAGCGTTCAATTGTGCACCGAAACTTCCATAGTGCTTTTGGTGTGTGCCACCAAGAGGACTATTTAAACCACGCGCAATTCAGTCTGCCATACTCTGTCACCACTTTCCCATGGCTTCCCATGAATTTTGGTCCCCAAGCTCTTATAACACAGTGGCTAAAATTGAATGCTATTCACCCGACCCACTGTCTTTTCTCCATAATTCGAACCGACATCCGGCCACATCATATTTGGAACCATGTTGTTCATCATCAGAAGAAGTGTCCAGTTTCGACATGGAAAGGTTTCTCCCGATCACGTGTTCTATACCAGAAGATGCCTACCTTGGGTGTGATTACGGGGACAGAGGATCACATAAACTTATTCCGATAGAATACACAAATCCGCACGAGAATAGCATGCATCAGATATCTACGGAATGCCTCTGCGAAAGGTACCTGGGTCACCCAAACAGTACAACGTATGGTATTCGTTACACGTTAGAGAAACCGACCGGGATAGAAACAACAGGCTGTCCGCAAAACGGAATCAATTGGGAAATTATGAGTGAGAACAGAGTGGCCGATTTTACTGCTGTATGGAAAGCCCCACAACAAGAAACGCCGCATCAGCCATTATGTAATGTAAGTTTGTCTCGCAACGTATTCAGTTTTACTCTAGGTAGCATGGGGAGAATGCAACACCTCTCGAAATAGTGTTGCTTGTGCGTGTTAGTCAAATGGAGTTTGTTAAAGCGGCGCATCTCAGTTGCATCATTAAGTTATATTAAATTTGTGATTTCGTAACAGTTATCTGGCTGATGTGTGTAATATATTTAGGTTTTTGTTTGAAACTCAAAGTGGAAGGTGGCCGAGACATAGGAGAAATAGAAACAAGCAAGGAATTCACATATCCATTAAAATTATAAACGGCTGATTCATGAAGTGCACCCCTAAATTATGGCGAAGAGGGAGATAGTTAAGTTCATTTCCAATCCATCGGCAACCTCCTCCGAATGTGCAAAAAAGAATATAAACCAAGAGACTACCAACCAGGAAAACATGGACAACTTAAGCACACACGTCAAGCTACGTGGGAAAAGTTATCTCAGAACTCGGAGCTGCCAATGAGCTCATTCCGTTCAACAAACATTCTTCACTGATTTTTACCTTAACGAAGACTCCCTTACTTGTTTTTCAAGATCAGTATGGGGCTAGAGCTTGATAGTTTCGTAATCGACTTGCGAGTACAGAGGTGAAAAGATGCAAGTAACTTAAGAACTATTTAATGTGTCACCTGGTTTGAGTTACTGGTAATTCACTAGCCTTGCACTACATATTCCATACATATTTGCATGTAATTAAACCACAACGCACAACTACATCATGCTGCAGAGATAAATGCTATTTAATATACCCTAGTGCAATGACAAATCCTATCTGAATTTTTATATTCGCCTTCTTCTTCTTTAGGTTTCTGCTACTCCAAACCAACCGAGTGGATCCACTAGAACGCAGAACCATCTACGAAAGCAGCATCAACGGGAGCAGGACAAAAACCGAACGCGGTCGCTGAATGTTGCATTCTGTCGGCTCAGATGTTGTCTACCGGAGATTCCGAAGGACACCAAATTGACCAAGATCCGCACACTTCGGTATGCGATCAGCTACATTCGGCACCTTATGGATACTTTGGATCTAGATGAAGGACAATCAATAGTTGGGAATGTTCAGACAAGTTGCTTAAACGTGAGTTGGACTATCAATTTTGCTGTTTGAACAAGCTTAACTCACTTGGAGCAGTACGCTTTCACAAAGATAGAATTAACTTCACATTGAATTAGTTTATAACATGAACTATGACTCCTTAGGCAACTGGTGAGTTACTGTGTGAAGAAATTGTAAGATGATATAACTTTGATACCACTATGAAATTTGTAACACTGATGATGGACAACTACCTTTGAAAATTTACGTTTCTTTCTGAGGCCACTGTCTGACAGATTTTACCGTTAGACCCGGCGCAGCTTACCTACGTCCGTTAAAGGATTTGTTAAATACTAACTATGGGGCATATACACGTGTATCCATTACAGTACTCTTCACTGAATCAAATGAGCCAAGGATTGCGCTGCAGTCATCAAACCAAACAGGCTGCTCAGAGTACGCGCCGCGCCTGATCGCCTGCTTGGTCACAATTGTTACGTGTTCTTCACTGTGGTGAATAGGTCAAGTACTGATTCAGTACAATCAACACAAGTCAGGTGGTAGTGACGGAATTCGCCAGCTCGTGACTCTTCTCAGTTATACGCTACTGAGCCATTGTAAAATTTGATCTGCACTACCTTGGTGTGACTTCCATATTCGACCCCAAGCATGCCAAAATGGCGTAAAATGTGTTAGTCAGAAAGCTGGGTGGTTATTAGCAGTATCTAAGTCGGAACCGTGTTTACCCACTCTGATAGTGAAAACGATGAGACTAACCTGATCCAGCGAATATCCACTTACTAAACAATATATTTTATAACGAGCACAGAAATAAATTGATTGATACAAGCAGTGAACTTTAAACGTGTTCATATTATGGCTTGAATTTAACTTTTGAGCGAAACTCGGCCTATACTAAATAGTAGGTTGAGTTTGTTGCAAATGCGACAGATGTGCACATTTGGCTTAAGCAGTCGGTATCTACGTTCTCTCAAATCAGACCCTATTGATTCACACCCCCAGTAGGTATAAATGCAATCAACCAATGAAGCTGAGGAAGTAGATAAAAGCCTGTCAAATGCGATCCAATTAATAACGGACGGAGATGCGACACAAGCCTACAGGTGGTTGCTTTCCAACCGATATATAACGCTACAATTGTGGACGCGATGACATATTGCTTGCAAATCCGCCACAGGGATCTGTAGTGTATCATACCAAGTGTTTGGTTAATAGCCGATTTAAAATTGATCTTTCTCTCTGACACATGTAAACTCAAACTTTGCATGACAGAGACGTCACAATGCATAACACAAACAGAATAAGATCACTTAATCGAAATAGCATCATGATAATCAAGTACATCGAAAAATACTTGGTTTCAATGATTGCACAAGTGCAACAATTAGTTATTAGGTTTCTTAGCTTGTTACGTTGGCAACTTCTTGGATCTTGCCGCGACATCACTTTGCCCACAAACTGCAGGAACAATATAGCCGTCTAGAGTGTCGACCGAATTACTTTTCCCTTCAGGTTTACCAACCCTAGAACGCACTCCCAGACAGTTGTATCATCTCCTACCTTGGACCTTTTCAAAAAACGATTAGATTTTGCTCTTAACTTCCACCATTTTGTTACCTAAACTCCTCTATGTTGGATTACGCCAAGCATGCTTTTCAACAGGATTTGCGTATCATATGGACCCAAGTGAGCGACCATATTTTACTTTCCTCACGCCTTATATCAACGATCACTGCACCCCAGTGTCTTTCTGGACGTTTAAGCTCGATTTTATTTTAAATTTTACACTGATGTAAGTTATCAAATTATTCATCTGGGCAGATGTTCGGTAGGTGACTCAGATATATTTTGATTTCATCATATTCACCCCAACCATCATACTAGACGTGTCGAACACTGGCTTTTATCCCGTGATAAATCATTGTTCATTGTTCAAATTTACATAGTGCCCTCCTCGGATTGGCAGTTACTGGTCTGGTAGTTCGAGCACCATCGATTTGAATTAGTTAAACATACCACAGGTTTTCTAGTCTAGTTCCAGAAAAACAAATGACAGTTACTACAAAATATGTTTACATTTTATCACTAACATTAGCTAATGTGAACCCGACACGACGACTGGGTTGAGCCAGCTGTTGTATTCTCAAGGTAAAATTGATCAGCATCCTGTGTTTGCTCACCCATCGAAGAATCCTTTGATCAATCAGTTTAATATCCGTAGAACTTCAGTCGTTAGGCGCATGTGCGCTTAAATTTACACAACTGTTTGAGCAATTAAAACAAGCGCATTGAAAAAGCGACACGCGGATTGCAGCCGCTGCAGCATAAATATATCGAACTCTGGGTCAGATTTTGTCTTACGAAATAATTTTGCACGTGTATTTATGACGAATTGAGGCACGTGTTACATTCAAATTTATCTTATGTCTGCTATTTCGAACCTACTATTCTATTTACTGTTACCGATGAACAACACTTGGTATGGGCCAACCCATTAGTGACAAATTAAATGCAATGTAGAAAGAAAAGTATTCCAGCAGGCTGCCGGGTTATTTATGATATGCTTACTAGCAAATTTTCCCAGTATTTCCTAGGCCATAATAATGCCTGGCGTACCAACGTCCCGTTCTGCCAGCAGGGCAGAGTGCACCTGAACTTTCCGACTATAGCGCGAAATTCGCTTGTCATTATGCGCACTCTACTGTCTGTGTAAACGTTTTAGATTCATACTCTCGTAGTGTACAACAGGCAACATAGTGTACGTAATTTGGGTGAAAGTGCCAGCAACACCATTTTCCTGAGCGGTTGTTACAACCCGTTGCGTGCTCATACTGTAGGATTGCAAGCTGCGAACAGGCTTGTCCATTGTAGAAGTCATCGTTAATCATAGACATCAATTCTGAAGAAAAACCAAACCTTCACTCATTTACGCACTTTCTACTGGAGGTAAGGTGCCGCGCAACTTTAGTGATTATTTTTCGCGCACAAATATCTGCTGCTCCAGAACATTCTTCAGTTGGAGCATTAGTATTGTCAACTGTTAACCCGTTACCGTATGGTTTTCCCTGCACGTATGTGCTACTAACACTGGTGCAGTAGTAACTGGTTTGGTCCACCACAATATTGTCTCAGTTGTGCGGTCGAAAAGCACGGTCTTTGCAGTAACACACACTGTTACTACCCGTTTCATATGTTTTCGATCGGAAGTCTACACTAGCGAGTGACGGTTGGTTCAATAACAGTCAACATTCAGTCTAAGCCTTAAAATACGGAACCGACTGATGCACTCCAGAAAATTGTTCCATGCTTAGATCTATCAGGCGTGATATTATCCACCCGAAAAGATTTCTATATATTTTGTAACTCATTAATTCATGTGATATTCCAAGCTGAAATAAGCAGGGTTGCTAATTGTGGGTGATGTAAACAAGTTCCAACCAGACTGGAAATAGTGCTATTTTAGAGAGAACAAAACCTCCTCCATGTGAAAGCGTATAAACAATCCCAACTTGATCAATACTTTTGCAGATCGAGGTTCCTGTTTACTGTGTAAAGCAAAGCAACTGCGAACAAGAAGAAACCTCAGCTGACCATCAGACCATGCTAAAAATAAACACCAGAGTACAAACCTAATATTTCATTCTGAAATAAATTGCCAAATGAGCAGAATCTGTAACTTAGAACCTGGAGATTAAGATAGTGAAGCTAAATCGAGGGTAATGCTGTTGCCGGCCTCATGCGGATTAAATTTGTTCGCCGTCCACTTTTGAGTACCATCTACAATAGTCAGTAATATCTACAAACAACGTCATGTGACCGGGATTTGGTCGTTACATTTCAGAAAAAAGATGTAACCTTACAGAAACCATGGCAGTTATATCTGCACGTACATTAGACGTACTTTTCTGCGCCTTCATTTCTTCTACGAATGCAGGTGACGCCTATCTTCTCCGGAGATCAAAAAATCACCATCACGGCACATAATCATATAATGTGACGTTTCTCATGGTGGCAAAAGGTAGAACTGTGTGCTGCTTGCCAGCCAATTTTTGGGACCACACCACCAGGCCCTGTCGCCAGGATTGTAGTTAGCCAGAACAGTTTTACAAGAGCGCTATTTTATTTCACCTTGGCCAATGATGCGGCATACAGGGGTGGTGCACTACTTCAGTGGTTCTACTTTTTCCAATGTAACAGTACTTCGTCAGCGCTATTGGATGGGTGGGAGTAACAGTAACTTTTCATCAGGTCCTTTCACATAGGCCTCTCGGTGATTCCATCTTCACAAACTAATATGAGGTCGAGGTCATTTCATGCCAAATTTTCACATCATCTGAACAACTTGTGACGTCAGACTCACTCGGTAGGTGACCCGAATATTCGGTGTGACCGCTACCCGTTGGTTATAGTGGCAGGTACAGTGAGTGGTGAAGCCGAAATTTTAGCTTCCATATAGCACGATGCTTTTGGGAGTTGTGATACCAGTGTCCAAACAGCTTTTCATAGCTTCAACGAAAAGAGGTTCACAGGATGTTTGTCCGAATAACGGATGCATCAAAACTGGATGCGGAGAGCCACTTAGTGACATGTTTAATTGGAACGAGATTAGGGAAGCTGAAGGGATCAGCGGAGAATAGAACGCACATAATGCATGGATAGGTACTTGCAAGAATTTAAATAAACTGCTTGTGTCCACTGAATCTTGGCGGCTTAAACAAACATTAACATGCCTCATATCCAGTAAAACGATGGTCAGCACACAAATCCGATACAGCAGCTAAGTATTTTATATCAAGAAATAATGCTAACTTCGCGGGTAGAACAGAGGGTTAGATGATGCTAGAACATATCTTGATCAATTTCACTTTTGTAGTCTAATTTGTGACGGACAGCTTGAAACTGGAAACTATACAGGCGGTCGCAGTCGCTGCTTCTGGAATTCAATCCCATCCATTCCTTGCTTTAACTGACATGGCAAAGATTTTGCACCACAGCCACAGTTGGGATCCACTTGTTTGGCTCGCAATGCAGTATCATGTGCTTGGCGTTTC